ACGGAGGAAGAGGCGTGAGAAGGAACGCGGGCGCGACGCGGGTGGGGAGATAACCAGAGCCCCACTCATCAAGTGGGGAAAGAACGGTCTCTGCCCCGCCCCCCAAAGCCCCAGCCCCACCCGCGACGGCGGCCCCTGCGAGGCATCTCCCAGGAGCGCCACGCGGGGCACCGGAGCGCCGACGGCCAGGGCTGCCACCGCGGCGCTGGCAAGGCCTTCGGCGGGGCCCCACCCCAGAGGACTCGACAGGCGTAGATGAAAAAAAACAGCATTGGCAAAGATTTGACGTCCTTCAACAGTGTAACCTCTTGCCATCGCTCGGACGTCAACTCCCCGCGCATTGTTTGGTGTCGTACATTTTTTGCCCTGAGGATCCAAGATGCTCCTCAAGGATGTTCCAGATGTTCTGGCATTGGCCTCGCCGAAAAAATGCACAAATCCGTGCGATGCCACGAGTTCTACACCGTGGAAGTCTGGGGAAAGACGGGGAATGACTGCTGGACTGGAGGCCGAAGTTGATCACTTCCAACAAGTGTGAATGAAGGGGCTCGACGGTGGCAAATAGTTAAGGCCCTCCGAAAATCTACCTGTGAAATTATTGAACGTGAAATCTGGGGAAATCTGGGTGAATGAATCCCGGCCGGACCAGAGGCCGAAGTGATTCACTTTTGTTCACCGGGTCCCGTCCCGTCTGACTGTTACGCTCTGGAAAAAATTATCCCAGTGCGACCCTACCTAGGAGTTGGAACCCCTAGGAAAGCAGCATTAGTAGTAACAGTAACGCTAAGCTAAAGCTAAGCTAAAGCTAAGCCACAGCTAAGCTAAAGCTAAGCTAAAGCTAAGCTAATGCTAAGCCACAGCTAAGCTAAAGCTAAGCTAAAGCTAAGCTAAAGCTAAGCTAAAGCTAAGCTAAAGCTAAGCGAAAGCTGAGCAACAGCTAAGCTAAAGATAAGTTAAAGCTAAGCTAAAACTAAGTTAAAGCTAAGCTAAAGCTAAGCTAAAGCTAAGCTAAAGCTAAGCTAAAGCTAAGCTACAGCTAAGCTCAAGCTAAGCTAAAGCTAAGCTAAAGCTAAGCCACAGCTAAGCTAAACGCTAAGCGAAAAGCTAAGCGAAACGCTAAGCTAAAGCTAAGCTACAGCTAAGCTAAAGCTAAGCTAAAGCTAAGCTAAAGCTAAAGCTAAAGCTAAAGCTAAAGCTCCCAGGGGACTGGGGGGAACCGCTCCCAGGGGACTGGGGGAACCGCCCGGGGCGTGTTGCACTGCCCGGCCCCTTTAAGCTAAGAGAGTAAGAACCCTTCTAGGCAGAGCCTAGGTAGGGAATAAACTGGCAAACGTGCAGACAAGTTCGCGAGACCACTGGGCTTGAAATATCGGATGAATCAGCGCCGTCGTTGAATGGGGTGCCTTCGCCAGCAGTCGAGGCGACCAAACGCCCGACCGCGAACCGCACTGATGCCAGCTGGCCGTAGACACTATGCTGCGGGGAGTAATGGGGCAGGAGCAACCCGAAGCGCAAAGCAGGACCATCGCACGCCGTCGCCACACCGACGCACAGCGGGCAGCCCTCGCTTGCACGCGAGGCAGGAAGAGGAGCCGAGGTACAATGCACGTCCATACACACAACAATGCACGTCCATACACACACACACACACACACACACACATACATATTCACACACACACACACACACGCGCGCGCGCACACACACACACACACACACACACACTTCCTCCGACGCGCCACCGACAAGAATTGCCGGAAATCAGGTCAGGCGACGCAGGCACAGGCCAGAGCTTGTGTGGCAGCGCAGCAAAAACGCAAATCTGTCTAGATTCACTTCGGACCAGCACGACAAGTCGGGCGAGGCAAGCGTTAAGTCGGGCGTGTCCCCCTACAGGGGGATTTGGGGCGAAAAATAAAAAATACTCAAACAATACCCCCCCCAATGGGAGAAAATAGTCAAGAAATCGTCCCCAGACTATTTTTGAACTATTTTCGAATATCCCCCCTGTAGAGAGGGACACGCCCGACTTCAGGCAAGCGGGGACGAGAGCGGCGGACAAAGCCGCTGGGGCACGAGCGGGGGGCGAGGGAGCGCCCACAAGCAGAGACAGCGAGAATCGCACGAGCAGGCCGGAGAGAGCCCGGGGGCCCGGCTCGCCCCGCCTCAAGAGGGCGCGCGGCCGCGCGCAGCCATCCCTGCCCAGCTCCCCCCCGTGGTGGCGGGCCCTGCCCTCGGACAGAGCAGGCAGCGGAGAGCGGCGGTCGTCGTCGCCGTCGCCGTCGCCGTCGCCGTCGCCGTCGCCGTCGTCGTCGTCGAGGATCGAAGACTGAAAGTCTGCCCATGCTGAGGAAAGTCCTGGAGGCCCCGCGCGGCAGCTCGAAGCCCAGCCTGCGTCGGATCCGCGTCGGACTCACGCCGGACTCGCGCCAGGAGTCACGCCGAGACTGCGCCGGCCCGAGGCCGGAGCAGCGCCGCGCGAGCGTCGTCCCGTATCTGACAGAGGGCGAGCGTGTGGACTGGAGAGTGCCACGATTGCGCGCATCGCTGAGTATCGTTTCACCGATCCCCATCCCCAGCGGCGTGGCCTGGGCCCCACCGGCCGATTTACCCCCCCAGGTGGGGATATACAGGTCGTTCCCTTCGGGCTTCGAGGGGTGTATCCCCAACTGGGGGGGGGCAATTTGGTGGGGGTCTCGACAGGGACGGGGATGGGGATGGGGATCGTTTAAACGATGCCGAATCGCGAGGCCTCCGGGACTCTCTTCGTCGTGGGGGTCGCTCTCGGGCCTCGGGAGGCGCCTCGGGGAGGCCTCGGCGGAGCTCGGGCGGGACCCGCCGCGTGCCTCCGGAGAGGCCTGGGAGGCTCTCTGTGGAGCAGGTGGTCGGCCCAGGGCACGGGGAGGCACCCGCCGCAGCCACGCAGCTGGCTCGGAAAGCCTCTCGAGATCGGGCCGCTCGACATCCGGAGGACACGGCGCGGGGCGGCATCCGTCGCAGCCGCGCGGCTGGCTCGAAGAAAAGCCTCTCGACATCGGGCCGGTCGATGTCACGTCCGCAGGGCACGGCGCGGGCAGGCATCGGCCGCAGCCCCCTGGTCCAGTCTTGCTCCGCTCGTGGGCCCCCTTCCGCACTCCTGCTCCTCCTCGTCTCCGGCGGGCTCTCCGCTCCGTCCGCGCTCCCACGACCGTGACGAAGAAGGGAGCCTGTGAGAAGTCGGCCCCAAATCTTCCTCTCCGAAACGATTACAGAATCGCCTGGTGTCCGATCCAGACGACCGCTCCGTAGGAATTCCGAGCAACCACGTCAAACCACCTGCTCGTGAATAGTATGGGAGATTCTAGTAGATGAGCTGCAGGTAGGCCTGGACGGTAACATTGCCGTGGAGCGCTAGCGAGACACTGAGGACGAGCCAGAACCCCCTCAGATGCCGAGCGATACCCACACATGCTCCTGGAGATGGCGATGATGAGTCAACAGATCGACGAGCGAAACGAGCCCACACAACTTCGCCGAAGGTTTGGAAAATTTCGGCCACCACTGAAGCATCGAGAGCGAGCATACATCGACTTATCCGCTGCGTTGCAGTCCGAGCTTCGAAGATTGTGCTCTCTAGCCCATGGCGGATCAAGCACACCTTCGGCTGAGTGGCAGGTGGTGAGGGCTGCAACGGCCTTGGCACTGATACAATTTGACAGATGGCCTCGCGATGAGCTAACGCCCAAATCCGAGCTGGCCCTGAAGGCCCGATGCTCACAAGCGCCGTCCTACAACACGGACGACTCAAAACATCTACTGATTTCGTCTCGGAAAGTTGGGAGTGCCAGGTCAGGTAGATGTTATGGTGGCTGCTGCGACGCAATCACCTCCCTGTCAAAAACACATCACTCGAACTTAAGCACCCTCGTTTACGTAGTTGGAAAGAAATCACAGCACGATTGCGTGTAAAGCATGCGCGCTGAAAGCTGGTGCGATCAAAATGATAATAGTTTGGCGAACTCTCAAGGGCGTACATGCACCAGGAAGCAACAGGGAGCACGTGACAACGGTGGCATCAACAATCCAAATATCGACGAGACTATAGACGAGGGCTCAAAAACATCAGGCAAAGTGAAAGCATCCCGGCCGGATGGAATCGGCAAAAGGCTTGGCAGAAACTAAAGCTCAGCAAACCCTGCGGTCGGGCCGCTGAGGGCAAGACACGATGAGACGAGCTCGGGGCCCCTGTCCCTCCAGCCCGCTGCCGTCGTGACAAAGGAATGATCAAGAGGTTATTCCTCCAACCACCTCCCCTCATGTATCCCACGCTCTTCTTTCTTCGCCTGGCCGGCGACCAGCCTCCGCGCTGTGAGAGCCGGGGCTGAGTCTTTCGGGCTGCTGTGCTGCGCCGGAGGTGATGTGATTACAGCCCACCGGAGCCGTGAGGAGCCTGGGCCTGCTAGAGGATCAAGGCCATGGCCTGTCTCTCCCCCCTGCTGGGTCTTCGGAGGCCTCCCGAGGCTCCAGAAAGAAGCCCTCTGCATACTCTCGGGGATATCCAAGGACCCCTGTGGAATTCCGGAGGGAGCAAGTTGACTAGGGGCACGACGACCCCAACCCCCGACATTTTAAAAGGTTTGCGAATGGACCTAAATTCAAGGCCATACTCAAGAATATACGACGGGGGGGATTCCATCCTCGATGATGGTGCGTCCCAATAGGTGAACGTTTTTATTCGGCGTTTCGACATTGGGCGGAAGGGGGGAGGGAGGGGGGGGGGCCTTGCTCTGGACCTCTGCTTGGTGCGACTGTTTGGAACCGTGCGTCCCATGGGGGAGAGGCTCCACCTGCTCAAAGCAGGCGCCAAAAACAGCCAAGATCTACTTCATAGGGGGGAGGGTGAAAGGGGGTTTGGGGGCCCGCGCCGACCGGCAAAACAATTCATAAAAAAAACGATCACCAAGTGCCTGGCTGTCTGGCGACAGCTCGGCTAAGACGGAGTGTCACCACGCGAGGGCACCGTGGTCGCACCGCGTGAGCGAAGCCGGCAGAGCGAGCGCCCAGGATCTCCTCATACCTCCGCCGGGCTGCGAATACAGCCGCCGCGCGTCATAAGGACGCAAAGTGTTAAGGCAATACCCACGGGTGACCAACGTGCAACCCGCCGCACGGGCATCCTGTCGGGCTGGCCGGTACAATCAGCCAAGGAAGTGTCGAGAAGGCAAGTATGCCAAGGCACACTCAGAGAGTCAGCTCATCCTTACGAAGTGCGGCAACTGTGCCTTGGAAGTCCGCACGGATTTCTCGAATCGGCGCTGGGCCCCCTGGCGGCGCCTCCGCCTCTGGCGCGCTCCGCGCGGCAGTGAGGGGGGTCCAGCGCCGATCCAAGAAATCCGCGCGGACCCTCAAGAGCTTATGATTATGTTGTTTGTTCCTCTAGGCTCGGGTCTATCTTGAGCTCGCAGCCGTCTGTACAGCGACGACGACGACGACGAGCGGCGACTGTACTAATTGCGGGCGGCGACTGTACTGTTGGAGTCCCAAGGCGGATGGGGACGGAAAACAAAAACGTGCCCAGCGAAGCAAGTCATGGCGGCCAGCGAGGACGGAGCCCCTTGCCTGAGGGCGCCAGCGACGGCTGGGCGCCATGCCCCACGTTCGCCTCGATGCCTCCTCTCGCTTCTCACGCTCGTCCTCCTCCCCCGTCCTCCTCCCTCCCTCGGCATCCTCCTCACTCCCTCTCACTCGTCCCCCCCGCCCTCAGCACATGCCGGAGAGCCGAAGGAAGGAGAAGAGAGAAGAGGATAGGAAAGAAGAGAATGGGAGCTATAGCAGTACACGACGACAACGACAACGACAACGACATCGACAACATCGACAACGACGACGACGACAACGACGACGACGACGACGACGACGACGACGACGACGACGACAACAGCAACAATCATTCTAAGACTGTTCGCTCCTATCTGCTTACGTGCACGTGCCAATCAATACGTATATCCCAAACCCTCGGTACATGCCCACGTCGTCTTCGATCGTACCCCCTTGGGGGTATATCCTCCTTACCTGCCACGTACATTTAGCGCAGCTCCTAAAACAAGGGAAGAGAAGACGGGTGGAGGGGGAGGCAGAATAATGGAGCACGAGAGAAATTAGCAGGAGGGGGCAAGGGGCAGAAAACGAGTGGCAGAACCAGACGGGCAGATCGGGTGGGCAGACCCGGAGCGGGCAGGTCGGGAAGGTGGGCCCAGGCGACCAGGTCGAGCAGGCGGGTTGCTGAAAAGATGCCACGCTCCTCCCCGCTTGGCATCGTGTCTGGATGGGCTGGTGGGGATGCTTTTTTGATCGCGACCGCGTCGAGAGAAGTGGCTGGTGTTAAGTCGGGCCTGTCTGCAGGGGGGATATTCAAAAATAGTAAAAAATGGTATGGGGACGATGTCTGAGTTTTTCTTGACCATTTTTGAATACTTTTGGCATATCTTTCATTATTTTGCTCCTCGAAAAGCCCCCCTGTAGGGGGACAGGCCCGACTTGAGGCTGGTGGGGATGCGCGAAGCGCCAACACCCTCCCTGCGAGCCGCGGGGCCGACCGGGGTGCCGCGGGGCGCTCCGCCGGGGGGCGGCGGGGCCCCGGGGCCGCTCCGGGAGGCTGCGCCTCAGCGGGGGTCGACGGGCTGCGCGCGCGGCAGCTACAGCTCCTGCGCGGGGGGGCAGGGGGAGGGAGAGCTGGCCACACGCAAGGAGTGGCCCTGGGCAGGAGTGACCTCTGTGGCGCGGCTCTTTTGGGGGGCCGCGGGGAGGCCAGGCCTGGGCCGCGCCAGCCGCCGCTGCCGCTCCGTCTTCAACCATCCGAGGGCCCATCTGTGCCCGCACCAAAGGTCACTCCGGCGAAAGGTCACTCTTACGTCTAGTCGGGAAGGAGGGGGGTGAGGCGCAAGAACGGCGCCCATGCATCGGACCATGTCTGGACTTATGATGCTCCATCCTGCTTGAGCCTTGAGCACCACGAAAAAAACATCGAACACCAATAAAAAACGAAACTCCAGGGTTTTCACGTGTCGGGCCCTGGGAGGCACTCGTCCGACACAGTTTCGACGCTGTTTCCAATGTTTCGACACTTTTCCGGGTGCTCGAAATCATTTACGGGATGTGGTCCTTAAGTACGATGGGAACAACATAAGTATGGATTCCCTTAAGGCCCCGCGCCAACGCGGTGCGGTGCGCACACTCTTTTCGGCTCTGAGGGCCGACAAAAAGCTGTGCACCGCACCATTCTCTGGTCGAGGAACCGCCGGCGCCTCGAGAGGCACCGGCGGGGTACTTCATGGTGCACACACATGTCGTCCGCGGAGGGATGGAGGAGGGGGGAGGCCCACGTGGGTAAGCTCCAGGTTGCCAGACGAGCGCGCTCCACTACTCGCAGATCAACTACCCGCACAGTGGCCTGGATCCGCCGAGGGGGATCTACGCAGGGAATCGAACTCTATACACCGACGCTTTTCCCGACCCTGCGCCGAAATTCGCACAAGAACGCGGATTCTGGTGTATACGGGATCCTGGTGTATAACTTTTTCGCTTCGTCGATTCCTCGGGAAAGCGGGGTAAAAATATACACCACCCCACCCCGACGTCGTCCCCGACCCTCAAAAGATCCTGGGATCGAGAAACCGCCCGCCACTGGAAATGTCTCCGTTCCCGGCCTTCGGGGGCCTCGCTGGGCCCCAGGCCCGTCAAAGAACCACTCGCGATGAAGCACCGGCCCCGAGGGACGGGCCGGATCGTCCAGGGACCCCGCATCGAAAAAAAAACAGGACACCGCACGCCTGGGGAGGGGGGGAGGGGGCAGGAGGGAGGAGGGGGGAGGCCCGCCGGCTGCTGCTGCTAACGGTTGGTTGATGGAGGTGGTCCTGCCACCGCCCGTCCGAGCACCCCTCGTCTCAACACAGGGGGCCGGGGAGGCCCGCCCCCCGCTCCTTCTCGTCCCCTCCTCGCTGCCGCGCCCCTCGGGCCACGCAAGCAGCGCGCGAGGGCGGCCTCCTGGCGATGAGCTCCATCGGAAGCGCTCTGAGCGAGTGCGGTTCGGGGAGCGGCAGGAGGAGCTGGCACGCCGGAAAGGGGTCCAGAGTCCTGAGGGAAACGAGTCCTCCACCCGCCTGCAAAAGTAATGCAACAGCGTGCTCCGTTTCCTGATCCCCACCCCCCCGTGCTCCATTTCCTGATCCCCACCCCACCCTTCCCCCCAGGGACTCCCGAGCTCAATGTTGAACCAGCCGCGGCCGACGGCGGAAAATCGGAACGCGCGGCGCCCCGCGCGATCACTGAAGGTGAGGGGCGCGGAGGGACGGACTGCGCGCGAGAGCTGCACACTTTTCGAGGGCAGTGTGGGCCCTAAACGTCGCCTGGGGCCGCTCTTTCGCCCTGGGTCGTCTCCAGCGGCCCTGGGGCCCAGGTGGACTCGAGGGGCCCGGGGGCTGCGAAAACCTCCCGGGCCTCTCCGTACAGTCATCGGCCTGACCTAAGGAACGATGAATGAGTAACGAAGCTCCTTTCTTCCAAAGAATCACGCATCAGGGACGATAAAAAATGAATAGCGCACAAGGAACGAGAAGTAACGCATGCAAACCTAAGGAACGACCGCGCCCCTTTTGAAAAGTAAGTGTTCCTTTTCAAGCCGCTCACTGAACTGCATGCAGAGGAGGGCTGTCAGTCGACCACGAGGCTGGAGGCGAGGGCGGCCGCGGGCGGGCCTGGAGGAGCTCGGGGGGCGAGGGCGAGGGCGTTTGGCCGACCGCGAGGCCGATGGGAGCTCCAAGGGGACGAACACAACGTGGGCGCGGGACGGGGGATGAGCATCGTCTAATCGATCCCCAGCCCCACTGCTGTGGCCTGGGCCCCGCTGGCCGATTCACCCCCCTGGATGGAGATATAGGCTGCTCCCTTCGGGTTTCGAGGGGTATAACCCCAACTGGGGGGATGAGATGGTGGGGGTCTGGATGGGGATGGGGATGGGGATGGGGATGGGGATAGGTTAAACGATACTGAGGGGAAGGGCTGGGCAAGGATGGCGAGAGGAAGGCGGCAAGGGTCGAGCCGAACTGTGTGGGCAAGCTGGAGAGACGAGGCACTGCCGAGAGATCCCGTTTGGCGCTTGGGCGAGGGTCAGCGATCACGCAAATGCAGGGACAAGATGGACGCGGACAACGTGAACCCAGCGACAATGCAACCGATAAGCATGTCTGGCTGGGTAGCCGGGTTGCCGTGCGAACGAGGCCGAAATTCGGGCCCTAGGCTCGTGGTGAGAAGAGCAATGGGAGGAGCAGCGGGAGAGAGAGGGCAGGGGGGGAGCTCGTGGCGAGGCACTGCTGCCAAGGACAGCCATCCTTGCTTCGGGGCCATCCATGGCGCCCAGGAAGACCCAATACGCCCCCAGACTGGCATCCGAGATGGTCCCAACACGGCCCCACACCGCCCGAAGACGGCTCCAAGACCGCCCCCGCCGACGGCCCCCAGAGCCCCCGAAAGAGCCACACAAGGCACCATCCCAAGGCAAGACGGCGGGAATTGAAACGCCGCGGGGCGTCCTGTGTCAAGGGCCACACAAGAGCACGCGTGCAAACAGGTAAGCGGGGGGGGGGGCTGTCGGCCAAGCCTGCGAGGCGATCTTGGCCTTGAGCTCATCCTCCTTCTTCTTGAGGCCCTTCGCCTCTTTGAAATTGTCCGCTTCCGCTGCTTTCTTTTTCTCCTCTTGCACCTTCGCGAGCTCTGCCTGGCGGCGGGCGGAGGGCGGGGAGGAGGAGCAGATAGGGTGGGGCAGGGGAGGAAAGAGCGGGAAAGACAGCAGGAGGAAGGAGCTTCATTCGGAGCAGCCCCGTCTGCACCCAGACGCTCGCGGTCCATGCCTCTGGCCTTCGCTGCCCCAAGAAGCCCTATAGAAACCTCGAGGATGCCGCCGCGCCCCCCCCCCCTCAGCACAAAAACGGAGCATCGCGACGCCACAACCGTGCCACGTTCCAGCGCGTGCATCGCGTCGGAGGTGCGCAGCAGCGCCTGCCTTCTATACGAATCGCTCCAGATGTGTACTCCAGATTTCGTAACAAAAGGGAGGGGGTCTCAACACTCTCAGACGAGAGATTTTAGACCCCCCCAGACCATCAACGAAAGAGCGGCCCTTTGCCCAGACCCCCCCCGAACCCTCAAGACAGCTCAAATTAGACCCCCCCCAAAATGTGACCCCCCCCCCACTTTATCATGGAATCCGGAGTACCCAGAACCTTCGGCTCCCGCCCCCTCCGCACTCGATCGCTAGCGTCTTCCTGCCGGGGCGGGCGAAGCCTCCCAAGAGCACCTCGAACGGCTTGAAGGCAGAGGGTGGAACCGCCGCCGGCCCCGTGGAGGGCCAACAGGCTGCGAGAGAACGAAGCAGGCTTCCCGGTCCACTTCCAGCTCCCAAGTTGCAGGTGCAGAATTGCCATGTGCTCAGGGAGGGGGGGGGGCGGGGCCCGTCTACAGAACGCGCTCTCTCATCCTGAGGTGGCGCTTTCCAAAAATCCGGAGGCTCGTCGTCGAGACCCGATGCTTTTCCACGCTTCACCTTCTTCAAAGCAGATGCGGCAGCCATGCTCGCGTTCCCCAACTCGCAATCCCTGAAATATTACACCAGACTCGCGTTCCCCAAGCCATAGCCCCTCGAAACTTACACAAAGATCGCGCTCCCCTGCCCACAAGCCATTGCAAATCACGCCAGACTCTCGCCCCCGAGACAACAAACCCTTGACAATTACGCCAGATCGCGCTCCCCAAGCCACAATCCCTTGTAAAGTACACCAGAATCGCGCTCCCCAATCCATGACCCCTCGCAAATTGCAACAAACTCGCACTCCACAGACTACAACTCCTTGCCAATTACTCCGGATTCGCGCTCCCCCAGCTGCAATCACTTCAAAACAACTTACACCAGGCTCGCGCCCCTCAAGCCACAATCCCACGCAAAGTGCACCAGCCTCGCCCTGCGCAAGCCACTCCCCCTTGACAATTACAGTCATCGTACAGGGCAGTTTTTAATACATCGGATTTTTTTAATATAGGATTTTCATACATGATTAATGCATGAACAAATGTATGCATGAACTCATCATTGTTTGAATGCTGAATCCCTGCATGTTTGATACATGATCCGCACGTGGAGCATGTACTAAAAACGGCCCCGTACTAGCATGAGGAGCGCGTGACAGGGAACAAAGGGGCGTTCCTGGCCACGGCGAGCCTCGGTCACGTCTGGGCGCAAGACCAAGAATCTCACGAACGGCCCGAAAATCAGAGCCCCTCCAGAGCCCAAGGTGGTCCTTATTTCAGCGTCTTGACGGCACGCCAGGCTCGCGCCCCCGAGGCCACAACCCCTCGCAAATGGCGACCGGCCTGCGTCTTCCAAACCACAGAGTTCCTTGAAGACTGCTCAGGACAACTCGCCAACGTTTTCTCATTCAGCAGTTCGACCTTGGGTAAAGGGGGGAGGGGGGAGGGGGGGGTCCTGGGTCCGGACCTCTGCTTGGTGCGACTGTTTGCACCAGTGCGTCCTATGAGGGGAGACTCTACCTGCTCGAAACAGGCGCCCAAACACAGCCAAGATCCATTCCATGGGGAGGGGGGGGGGGAGGGAGGGGGAGGGGGGGGGAGGGGGCCCGCGCCGATCGGCAAAACAATGGATACAAAACGATCACCTTACACTGCCTGTTTAGGGACATGTGATTCGGGGGACGATCACCTCACACAGTCTCGTCTCCTGAGAGTTCGGCTCGGGGCTCGAGGCCACAAAGCCCCGTATGGCTATAGGGGTGCGCGCGCTCCGGGGGCCACCACCTCGTATGAATTATTGCAGGCACGAGCACCCGCCAGTCAGCAAACAGCCCAAATCAATCGCCGAGCCTCAGTTTAGACAACAGGCCAATCCGCCGAGTTGCCAGTCGGCCACCCGACGAGAAAGTCGACCTACCTACCAACCAAGCGTGATCACGCAAGCAATCTGAGGAGGGGGGGCAAGCTGTAGAGGGCGAAGCCCTTGAGATAATAACCCGGTCGGCCAAAAACATCGCTAGCCATCAACGTCCACCGCAAGACACTCGCATGTGTGCTGTGGCAATAGGATGACGTAGAAATTCTGCGTCGACGCATGCCTGCGTCGAACTGGCCCACCACCGACTGAACGAAAGGCAATTCTGGGCTCCACTAGAACTACCTGTCACCGCACACGGAAACGCTCCAGAACCACGACCGTCATCATGGTCTCACTGATACTTCTTGGAAAACTGCAACTGGTTGACGAAATAGTGAATTCCAAACACCAAATAAAGTACTAGAACCACTGCACACCTTCTGCAAATGTAAACTAAAAGGCTTGACGACACGACCACGGACCAATACTCCCAGAGCGGCCAAAGAGGCTCTGAAACGAAAGCTCTAGAACACCACGAGCATGAAAAATCCTAGAACTCTGACACCTCCTGCGGGTGTCAGCCGCGTGCACGTTTTGGACCGCGGTGCGCGTGTTCAGATAGAGGCTGCGCAGGCTCGGGGAACATGAGGACTCCGTGCGGAAATACTGTTGCGATGGCCATCGTCCTTCCCTCTGTTCACCTCTGCCCAAAAAAAAACTCTTCTCCCGTCTTCTTCTGCACAGCTTAGGACCGTGCGTGGCCAGCCGAATGCGACAGTTAGCAAGCTGCGTAGGTTGATCGAGGCAATACTCCAGTGCGAGTGCTTCGACCTGGAAGGGCGTCTTTACGCCTTCATGGAAGCAGCCAGCCATGGCTATAACCTGGGAGGCCCCATCACCAGCGCCCAGCCACTGAGCTTCGAGGATTCCTCTCGCTTCGCGGGATGCACGTCCGGAGCACGTACAGTCCAGTCGTTGTTGGGGCTTCTGGGAGCCTCTTGGAGGTCTCTTGGAGGCTTCTTGAACCACCTGGGGCCCCTTGGGGCCCTCTCTGGGGGGCAGATCAGGGCCTCTTGTGGGCGTCTTTTTTTCTTTCTCTGCTCGCCTCTCGCGCCTGGAGCGCCGTCAAAGCCGGCCCGGCGGCGCCAGCCCACCCGGGCCGGAGCGCGGCGCCCGTGCGGGAGCAAGGAGGAGGAGGAGGAGGAGGAGGAGGAGGAGGAGGAGGAGGAGGAGGAGGAGGAGGAGGAGGGGGAGGGGAGGAGCGGAGGGGGCACCGCGCCCTAGGAGAGAGAGGGCAGGAGGGAGAAGTAGAGAGAGGAGTCCCGAGGGGGACGCGCGCTCTGGCACCGGCGGCTGGCTCAGTGCCTCAGGGGGGCTTCAAAGCAAACAGAGGCTGCACGGTCATCGCCCCCATCAGGAATTACAATCTGGGCTGGAGATGCCGTTCGCTTGCTGGATACCTCCCTCGTTCACCGAGTACTTGTAGCAGTTCTTCCCGTCGAGCGTGCAAGTCTGTGAGACAGTCGGCGTCGCTGATTTGCCACCGATCGTTATGCCAGTCAACGTGCCCGCGGGCAACTCACCGCCCTCCGTGCAGGTCGGCGAACCGCCCGAAGTGATGTTGCAGTTGTATTGCAGGATGTTCTCGCACGTCAGCCCCACGCACGTCTCTGGCGGGCCCAGGAGCGTGGCTACAGGACAGCAGCCGCCGTCGCCGAAGTCTCTGAAGGCGACCGGGCACCCGATCTTGCCTGGGGTGGGCTCCACGGCGTCGCCGAACAGCGGCTCGCACTTCTGGCCCGCGGTGCAGGTGCTGGTCGCCGAGCAGCAGCCCGTCCCGCACTCCACGTCCACGACGCCGCACCTCGCAGTCCGGGGAACCCACCCCCCGCTCGGGTCGGAGCGGCTCCGCACCTGCGAGCTGCGGCCCGCCGCCTGCAGCAGCCCCACCCCGTCGCCCTCCTCGGCCGCCGCGGCGCAGCCCTCGGGGGGCGCCGCCCCGGCCGCGGCCAGGGCGAGCGCCAGGGCCGCGGAGGCCCGGGTGGTGGAGCGCCATCGGGCGCTCTGCCGCGCGGAGGGGGGGCGGGGCGCGCACCTGCAGAGGCCCTGAGCCGAAATGGCTACGGAGGGCCTCCTGTGGGCGTCTTGGGGCGCTGTGGCGCCCCCATGGCCCCTTCGGAGGCGGTCTTGGGAACCTCTTGGGGCCGCACTGGGGCTCTGCGGGGGTCTCTTGGGGGCCGTCTCGAGGGCCTCTTGGACCGTCTTGGGAGACTCTTTGGGCCGTCTCGGGGCGTTCTTGGGCCGTCTTCGGGCCCTCTTGGACCGTGCCGGGGGACGTATTGGAGGCTGCTTGGGCCGTCATGGGCGTCTGGCCAATGAGCCTCGAGTATCCATGCTGACGCCGAGCTCAGGACACTTTTGCCGACAGGCTGGCCGACGGGAGCCCTCGGGGGCAACGCGGGGTGCCTTCAAGGCCGCCAGCTCGCCGCCAGCGTCGCCCTTCGCGGCGGGCTCCTGGTTGGCTCCGCCGCACCCCTGCGTCCCCGACGGCTGGCGTTAGAAAGATAATATACAACATCGATCTCTGAGAATCGGGGGCGCGCAAACATGGATCAGCGATCCATGGACTTGGCGCGCGGTCGCCAAATATCCATGGATCGGGGGGAGGTGCCATCCCCAAAATGCGGCCGGTGCCGCCTCGTCCGGCGGCTGCAATCCGCGATTTCCCGCGGAAGCGGGGCCCGTCGCTAATCCGCGCCCCCCGAATCCATGTTTGCGGTTGCCCGAGAGCAGCACGCCGTCCCCGCGAGGCGAGATCCCCCCGCGAGGGCCTCCTTCTGTGCACGCTGTCCCCTCGCCAGGGCTTCTCTTGTGCACGCTATCCGATGTCCCCAAGACGGGGGATCGCGTGCAAGGAGCGTGCCAGCTGCGCCACATCGCGCGCTACCTTTCCGACGCCAACCGTGTTTCCTCGTCCTTCCCCTTCCCCCTCCTCCTCCACCTCCGTCTCCTCGTCCTCCTGCGTGGAAGGAGCCGTGGCGCATGGGTCGAGGCAGCAAGCGGAGCGGGAGGGGGCGGGAAATGGAAGGGGGGCAGGAGCGAGAAAGGGGTAGAGGCAAGATTGCGCAGCAGATCGTGAGGGGCCAGGATCAGGAGAGCAGGCCTTCAACGACCGATTGAGTGGATTGGACGAGCAGCAGGCGAGGATCCTCGGCTGCCTTCTCTGGAGTACCAGCATCGCCAGCTTTCTGGGACTTCTTGTACTCCTCCAAGGGGGGAACGCAATTCAGCAGCTCAAAGCTGGCGTGCGCGCACAAGCAGACATTTGTACCTTCTGAGAGGAGGCCCAAGCGTGGTCTTTGAATTCAAAAAACGGTGGCTGTTTTTGGAATTTTAAAACTTGTCTTTTATTGAAACACCAATATTCTGACCTCGGAAACCTGTTTTTTTGAATTCCAAAGACTGGTTTCTTGAATTAAAAAACCAATTTTGCGAATTCCACAAACTTGGAGAGCAATCCAAGAAACGTTAATCGGTTGGCGGCAGTAGCCGCAGCGCCAGAGGCAGCCAGCGCGGGAGGCGGTGTCCCGATAGTCTTGCCTCCGAGGAGCGGCCGCGAAACATAACCTCGAGTAAAGACTGCGGGCGCCCACAAAGACGCCAACGGACTGGTTTTTGAATCAAAAAACTTCGAAAACAAAGCTTTTTGAAATCAAAAAACCAGCTTTTGAACTCAGAGAAAAAATGGTTTTTGAATTCAAAGCACGTTTTTTGAATTACAAAACGTGTTCTTGAATTCAAAAACCAGACCTCGAAATCCAGAATAGAAGGGGGGGCCTGATTTGAGCTGACCTGGAGGGTTCCAGGGGAGTCTGGGCAAAAAGGCAGCCCTCTCATGGCTGGTCTGGGGGGGATCTAAAACTGCTCGTCCGAGAGTGCAGCGACCCCCACGCGCTGCTTCGCGCTGCTTGTATTGCTAGGCATTGCTTAGCACGGCTTCGCATCGCTTAGCACTGCTTAGCATCGTTAGCATTGCTTCGCATTGCCTCGTATGGCTTGGCATTGGCTGGCATTCCTCAGCGTTGCTTCGCATTCCTTGGCGTTGCTTGGCAGTCGTTGGCAGTCGCTGCTTTATTAAAAGACTCGGGGGACGCGCACGCGCGATCACATAAAGAGGCACTAGCGAGCGCGCACGCCAGCATTGGATCGTCTGCATGCGCGTGCGCACCGACAGGATGGCATGTGCACACGGACCGACACATGCGCCCACCTAGATCACTATTGCACGCGGACGTCTTGCGGCGGTCGCTGCACTTCTGCATTGCTTCCCTCTCACACCACCCTCAGTACCAAACGCGCTCCTTTTTCGCTTTCTTTATGGTCTGGGCATTCGATTGGCCGGCAAAGCGTCACGGAAGAGGCGGGATGGGGCAACAGCAGCAGCGCACACAGACGAGGCTGCAGAAAGACATCTTGGGGTCCATGGATGGGACTGTCAAAAAGCAGGGACATGAAGCAAGGGGGGGGGGGGGGCGAGTTGTGGGCAAAATGGCAACCTACGAGGAGAGAACGCACTCCAGAGCACCGCGAGAGAAGTCAAGAAGATCAAGATGGCATAGGAGCGCAAGCACAAGGCAATGACAGTCAGCGGAGCGGCGCGGGAGAGGCGAAGCTGAAGACGCTGACCAGGCAGAGGCCACTGCGGGAGACTGAAGGAGTCGTCTCGAGAATCCGCCACTCGAAGCTCAGACGCAAAATGATAGATGAAGCATGAAAATTGCAACATACGCAAAGGATGACGTGAATCACCCAGAAGCACTGAAAGCGGTTCAATGAAAGATACACCGCGGTATCGTGTCAACACCTGGCGAGGCTTTACATTGCATGGCACGTGACGGAATGTTGGCCGGACAATCAGTACGCCATGGCACGGGCTACTAGAGCGCGCGTGCGGATTGCATCTGCCGCGCAGCGACAGAAAAAGTGACGCAGCGCAGTGGATAAGCGGAGGCTCCATTGATTTAGTTGTGCCCGTGTCCACTGAACACACGCTGAGAGATGATGGCAAGAGCGGATACAGGAGAGTGAGAGAAGGCAGATCGAATGGCATGGGGCCGGCGGGCAGGCGAATGCAGGATAGCCGACAGGGGGACATGTGAGAGTGGACAGAGGGCGGCGAGGAGCGTCAACGTGCAAGATTTAGGTCGGGCATGTCCCCCTACGGGCGGGTCTTGGACGAAAGATAAAAAAGCGGACCTTGGACGAAAATTGCAAAATAACACGAAAAATGCCCCCGAAATGATCGACAAATGCTTCAGAAATAGTCCCCAGACTATGTTCTTGACCATCTTGGAGTATTCCTCCTGTAGAGGGACAGGCCCGACTCAGTGCCAGATGAAGCAACAGCAATCGTGGTCTGACCCAGCGGGCCCGACCTTCTTCAGCTCTCGCTCCGCCTTGGAGATGTCCTCGACGCGCGGGGACCCAAATGAGGAGGGCACTCCCAGAGCAAGAACCGGTGCGGGGATACGGTCGGGGGCCTTGACCTCAAGAACCCCCCAAATGAGGAACGAGGCCCATTTTTCTTTCATGGGTTAAACTTCGATGTCCCCTCGCAAACCTGACCTGAGGAACCCAAAATCAGGAACGAGGCCCCTCTTTCTTCCATTGGTTAAACTTCGATATCCCCTTGCAAACTTAAATAAGGAAACATAAATGAGGAACGAGGCCCCTTTTCTTCCACAAGTTAAACTCCGATGTCCCCTCGAAAACCTGACCTGAGGAACCCCAAAATCAGGAACGAGGCCCCTCTTCTTCCATAGGTTAAACTCCGATTCCCCCGTCGAAAGCCTCAGGAACACCCGAGGCAAACCGTGAAACGATTTAAGGAACACGGAGCCCCTCCCCAACGAAAAAGGTTCCTTCGTCAGCGCCCCGGCTGAATGGCAGTGGGCCGCAGAGTAGGAAGAACGAGGGACAACCGAGCAGGGCACCATTGAAGGCCAAGAGGGTGCTCGAAGATATGTAAAGAGCCATGGAAAAGGACACCGAGAGAAGATAAGTCACACCCAAAACCCGTGGCCGAATCGGAAAATTACGAAAGCGGAAGCTGATACGTACAGAACAAAAATGCACAAGGTCAGCGACGGGGTGGAGACAGAGCCAAAATAACGAGCACGGATATGAAGAACCGTCTTCGGCACTCATGCGAACCCGATTCGCGGCATCGCTCCCGTACATTGCCCTCGTGAAAAGACTATAAACAGTGGCTCCACCTATGCCCGTCTTAGGCTGTCGGGATAAGCTTCTGACGGCCCTGCGTGTTATCGAGTTCCGCGGTGGAATGAGCACAAGCACATGTCGAAAGGAATGCGAGAATTGCTGGCACCAACCTTACGCGTTCGATCATGAACCCCTCGCCACGCATCTTGGCCTCTGAGGACCCCCGAAAGACCGCCGAAGACCGCCAGCGAGCGCCCGCCCCGCCGCGGGCGCTGGGGCCCCCACACGGTCTTCGGCGATTTTCGGTGGTCTTTCGGCGGTCTTCGGCGGTCTTCGGCGGACTTCGGCGGTCTTCGGCGGTATTCGGCTGTCTTTCGGCGGTCTTCGGCGGTCTTCGGCGGTCTTCGGCGGTCTTCGGCGGTCTTCGGCGGTCTTCGGCGGTCTTTCGGTGGTCTTCGACGGTCTTCGGCGGTCTGGACGGCGGCCCGACACGGTCTTCGGCGGTCTTCCGCTCTCATCGGTGTGCGAGCCGGATACTTCGCGTTGAAAAGGGGTCCATGATCGAACACGTAACCAACGCTGACATAATCTTGACGTGAGCCAAATAGATCAAAATAGAGCCAGACTGGCGCCTTCTCGACCGGACTCGTCCGATCCACTCCGACCCAATAAATACACATTCCTGCCACAATTGATAAAACACTTCCATCAAAAATGACGCCCAACCGGAAATCCATTTTCATTTCGGGTCGTTTTGTGCGTGCAGACGAGGTGAAGCTGCGCGATGGCGAAGGTGTGCCGGCGTAGCTGAGGCCAAGTCGTACTACTTTGCGCGGTTCCTCGCCGCGATTGCCCCACGGTTGTCCCGAGGTTGTCCCACGGTTGTCCTGTGGGTTGTCCCGTCGTTGCCCTGTGGGTGGCTGTCCCGCGGATTGCTCCGCGATTGTCCCGTTGACTGTCCTGTGGTCGTCCCATGGAATGTCCCGTGGGTTGCCCCGTGGTTGTCCCGTGGGTTGTCCTGTGGTTTGTCACGTGGGCTGATCCGTGGCTGTCACGTGGGTGTCCCGACGGCTGTCCCGTGGGTTGTCCACCGGGTTGTCCCGTGGTTGTCTGGTGGTTTGTCCCGTGGCTGTCTCGTAGGCTGTCCCGTGGGTTGTCCCGTGGTTGTCCTATCGCCCGTGGGTTGCCGCGTTTAGTTCTGTGGTTGTCCCGTGGTTGTCCTATGGTTTGTTCCGCGGTCGCCCAACTTTTCCCGTGTTTGTCCCGTGACAGATTCGAAATGAAAGTAATAGTGTAAATCGAACTGCAAATCGAATTCCAAATCGCAATGCAAGTCGAATTGCAATCAAAATGCAATACGAAATGCGATTCGGCATACACGTCCAATTGCAATCGAATTGAACATCGACATGCAAGTCGACATGTACTCAATCATCCAAACGTCTGCATCACTCGAAGGATGGTCTATGAGGTAATCATGTTACACACCATGCCGAGACTCAGCGCAGTTGGCCAAAGCCTGAGAGGAGCTGTGGACATCCCTGGTAGTGCCTCTCCCAAGATATTTCGGGCCAAGAGTGCCTGTCATAGATGAGTAAACGCATGATGATGGAGGGGCGTGGCGCTGGCCTTGGTGAGTGACGTGGACAAGTCAAACTCCAGCTTCGCGTTCGCATCCCTCCGCTGCGCCTGTCAACATAGATAATACATGCATATGTGTATATATATATTACAAAACAATATAAATATATTTATGTATACATAAATAGTTATGCCCACCGATCAGATGCCAGCAACGAAGACGACAGGAATTCATGCGATATGGATGTGTCAGCGACGTTGGCAGTGGCAGACAACCAGCCAAAGTTTCGAGCACACGTTGCTCCTCAAGAAAAACGTTCAATAGCTTCGCCGAACCCCACCAAAGTAACGAGAACAGACATACGATCGTAACAAAGCCAGCTGGCAACAGCGGCACCAACAATTACCGCAGCAGATGCACCAAACAGTCTCGACGCAGACGACTGGAGAGGTCCAGAACGACGCCTCGGTGCAAACTGGAAAGTTCAAGGCCATTGAGCTTAGGTGTTGGCCTTCGAATGCACCCTGACTCGGGAGTCTCGGAAGAAGGCTCCCACAACGGCCAGGATCCACAAGGACAAGCCCAAGACTGCCCAAGGAGCCAACGGGACCCTCCAGACGGCCCCTGGGCGTCGAGAATGGACGGTCACCCCGATGCGCTGCCAGGCGCTCGGGCCGTCTTGGGGCCATCTTGGCGCCGTCTTGAAGCTGTCGCTGCCGTGTTCGACCAGTCTGGGCCGGTCCAGCATCGTCATGGAGCGGTATTGGGTTAGTCTTGCGCTGGCTTTGCAGCGATTCGGCGCCGTCGGGGAGGCGAGTGGACCAGAAAGCCTCGAAACCACGCCATCAAGATGACGTATTTTTAATTATGAATATCATTCATGTTTTACCCATTGTGGGAGCATCAGAGGGGGAGGGGACGCATTACGCATGCTTCCAGGATCTCCCAGGAGCCATGTTGGACCCAAGACGCACTATTCTCGAGCGGGCACGCATGGCATGCACTTGAAACGGTCCTGGGCGTCCCGTTCTGGACCTGGGGCACACACCCTCCTCGAGCGGGCAAGAGGGACTGAACCGCGCCAGATCTGGCGCCGAATCTGACGACGAGAACAGGTGGACCCAGGGGAGCGATTCTGTGTGCCGACGACTTGGCATCTGCCAGAGCCCTACGGCGAGACTCTCTCAGGAAGCATGTCCACCACTGTGCCTGCCAGGCACGAGTTGAAGTGTCGCCAGGTCCCTTGCTCAATCCCCTGAGCCTCAGTCCTTCACCCAGGGGACCTTTTTGAAGGGGCCTGGACCCCGAGCTCTCGAAGCTCCCGAGGCTCCCGGCGCGCCTGGGGCGTCTTTCGCACAGCTCGTTCGGGCCCAGAGGGCCCGAAGACGGGCCAAGAGGCCGCCCCCTGCTGGCCTGTGCACGGCGTGCTAGATGTCTGGAAGGAGGCGGAGGAGGAGGAGGAGGAGGAGGAGGAGGAGGAGGAGGAGGGGGGGAGGAGGAGGAGGAGGAGGAGGAGGAGGAGGAGGAGGAGGAGGAGGGAGGAGGAGGAGGAGGAGGAGGAGGAGGAGGAGGAGGAGGGGGAGGGGGGGAGAGGAGGAGGAGGAGGAGGAGGAGGGAGGAGGAGGAGGAGGAGGAGGATGAGGAGGAGGACTCCTGAGAGCTTCGGCCAAACCCGCCGACCACGGAGAGAGCTGCGTAAGCTGCGCCCCCCATTGGCCCAAGCGCCTCCAAGACGCCAAAGATGGCCCAAAATGACCTCCAAAATGTGTCCAAGACGGTCAAGATGGCTCCAAGAGAGCCCAAGATGGCTCCGAGATGTCTCCAAGACGGCCCCGGATGCAACCAAGACGGCCTCAGATGGCCGTCAGATACCCCAGACGGCTCAGAGGTCCCCAAGAGGGCTCCAAGACGGCTCACATCGACATACAGGAAGGCCCGAAGAGGCAAACATCTGAGATGTTTCAAAGATTCGGGTATTTGCACCGTGCCCCCCGTCCGACGGGCCAAGACGGACCAACAGACCTCCAAGATAGCTCGAAGGTCGCCCCAGAGGCTTCCAAGATGGCCCCATGACAGTCCAAGGAGCCTCCATCCAAGACGGCCCTCAGAGGGCCCCAAGACGGTCCAAGAGGCCCCCAAGACGCCCAAGAAGGCTCCAAAGTGTCTCCAAGACGGCCCCAGATGCGCCCAAGACGGCCTAAGATGGCCTCAATATGGCCCAAGACGGCTCAGGAGGCCCCAAAGAGGCCTCCAAGACGGCCCAAGAGGCCTCCAAGAAGAAAAAATCGAGGAGGCCAAACTCAATGATTTCCCTCAGGTGTTTAGGGTATTTGCTCCTTTTCGGCGTCCGACGACCCAGGACGGCCCAACAGACCTCCACGATAGCCCGCAGATCGCCCGAGAGGCTTCCAAGAGGGCCCCCATGACGGCCCAAGAGCCTCCAAAACGACGGCCCAAGAGGCCCCGTGACGCTCCAAGATGGCCGGAAGATGTCTCCAGGACGGCTCAAGATGCGTCCAAGACGGCACAACACGATGCACTTCAAGATGGTCCAAGACGGCTCAAGAGGCCCCTGGAGGGCCTCGAAGACGGCCCAAGAGGCCTCCAAGAGGACATACAAAAAGGCCCGAAGAGGCAAAATCATTGATTGTCCTCCAGGGTTGGAAAGATTTGGGTATTTGTACCGTGTCGCCCGTCCGACGGGCCAAGACGGCCCGACAGACCTCCACGATATCTCGAAGATCGCCCAAGAGGATTCCAAGATGGCCCCATGACGGCACAAGAAGCCGCCAAGACGGCCCCCAGAGGGCCCCAAGACGGTCCAAGAGGCCCCCAAGACGACCAAGATGGCCTCCAAGACGGCCAAGATGGCTCCCAGAGAGCGCAAAATGGCCGCGCGTTGTTTCCACGACGGCCCTAGAAGCACTCAAGACGGCCTGAGATGGTCTCAAGATGACCACAGACGGCCCAAGAGCCCCCCACCCAAAGACCTCCAAGACGGCCAAAGAGGCCTCCAAGAGGATATTCAGGAAGAAGCGCAGATGCCAAAATCATTGATTTCCTTGTGGTTAACGGAAGTTGGCAACTGCTCTTTTCCGGCCGTCCGACGGCCCAAGACGGCTCAAGAGGCCTGCAAGATCGCCCCAAGATCACCCAAGAGGCCTCCAAGAGGCCCCCAAGACGTCCCAAGACGGCCCAAGAGGCATCCAAGAGGGCCCACAGACGGCCCAAGAAGCCCCCAAGACGCTCAAGATGGCCTCCAAGACGGCCAAGATGGGCCCAAGAAAGCATAAGATAGCCGCAAGATGCCTCCAAGGCGGCCCAAGATGCAGCCAAGACGGCCTAAGATGGCCTCAGGACGGCCAAAGACGGCTCAAGAGGCACCCAAGAGGCCTCCAACAGGTCCTCCAGGAAGGCTTGAGCGGGTCAAATCCAAGAATTGCCCGTTGGATATAATAGATTCTAGCGTTTGCTCATTTTCGGCGCTCGTACGGCCCGAGGCAGCCCCAAAGGCCACCAAGATGGCCCCAAGCTGGCCATCGCTCGGACGCCCATTCCCTGTGTTTTTGGGGTTTCGTGCGTGGTCTATTCGCCGAATGATCAAGGATGCTCCTCGATGGTCCTCGCCGAAGGAAAAATGCACACGTCCGAGCGATGTTCAGCAAGAGCGCCCAAGAGGCCTCCGAGATGGTCCCCCGGCGGCACAGGAGGCCCCCAAGACGACCCCGCGAGGGCCCTGAAACGGCCCAGGGGACCTCCAAGACGCCCAGACGCCCAAGATGGTCTCCAGGACAGACCTGCAGCGCCCAAAGAGGGCCTCGCACGGGCCAAGAGAGGCCCGCAGGACGACTTCCGGCGACGTCAGACGGGTCGGGGAAGGCCCTCAGACGAACCGAAGAATCTCCCAAGGAGCCTTCAAAGGCCCCTGAGAGGCCCAATGAAGCCCCCAAGAGGCACCCAAAGGGCCCCAGGAGAAACCCAAGAGTCTCCCAAGAGGCCTCTCCCTCCTCCTCCTCGTCCTCCTCCTCCTCCTCCTCCTCCTCCTCCTCCATTTTCCTTTCTCCCCTCCTCTTCTTCGTTCTCCCTCTCCCCCTGGTGTTGCCCGAAGCGTGTTCACAACGGCTGGGGGAACACACAGCCCGATAGCTGCGTCGAGCTCTGGCCGTGACGTTCGTCCGCACGGGCTGTTTCAAAAGGCAGTGGGCGGAGGTGATTCGCCGCAGGCGTCCTCGACTTGCAAGCCGCCAGAGCCTTGTGGCGAGACGCTCTCAGGAAGTTAGGGCTGGGACAAGGATGCTGGGACCAGCGCCAGCGGGCCAAGGACGCCACGAGCGGTCGGACCGCCGCCCGCCGCCTGCTCCGTGGGTCATGGAGCTGGCGTGCAGGCCCCTGTCGGGGCAGTCGAAGCCCCGGTCCTCGAGAGAGCTGACGGATTCCATAGAAGAAGCCAGCATGCCGGGCTAGGCCAGCTATATCGCCTCCGCTGCCATACTTAGGTCGGGCATGTCCTCCTGCAGGCGGGTTTTGAGTCAAAAATGAAAAATCATCCAAAATAGTCAGAAGTATCAAAAATGATAGACAAATGGTCACCTGATTATGTTTTACTCTTTGGATATTCCTCCTCTAGAGAGACAGGCCCGACTTTGAATGCCAGGCACCGCAGCACCGCAACATCCTGCTGGAGCGTGCAGCTCGTCTCTGGTGAAGCAGTCGACGCTCTGGTGCCCCCTTCTCCTCCCACACAGGTGCAATGGATGGTCTTCGAAAGCAGAGGGCAGAAAATCCACCCCGACAATAACCACCCCGACACGTGAAACCGTTTCGTAATCGCACCCAGGGCAAGGGTGCCTATCAAACGCCCAGGGCCTTGTAATAAACGCCAATTGTCGGGTCCAGATGAATTGGTCTCCCTTGAGAAAGGGTGATCGTGGGCTTCCCGTCGCACCGGACACCCCCCGCGCTGGGTGTCCGTCGCGTCGCTCAGGCCCGTCTCCACGAGATCCGCACCCAGGCGCCTCCACTGTCATGAGTATCCACCTCGGCCAGCGCATCTGCTTATGGTTTGCGGCGGTTGGCATGCACCGATGCGATCGCTGACGGGGCATGTTGACCGATGAGGTACTTCTGCTCGGCGGCCACGAGGAGGGGCCCCTTTCCGCAGAGGTGCCTATGGAGCAAGAGTCGTCGCAATTCAACACGACGTCGTTGGCGTCGCTGGCCAGCGCCACGTCGTGGCCCAGCCGACCCGCCGCATCGGCGATGCCGCACGATCATCCGATCCCATCTAATCCAGCAGCACCCCTCTCCGAACACTCGCACGAGGCGACAGGCCCTCGTCGTCGCGTGCCACCCTCCAGAAACATGGCTGCCCACTGCGAGGGCATACCTCAGGGCCTTGCGCAGCGTCTCGGAGCCATGCCTAGGGCATTGCAGCAGGCACTTCGCCCAAGAGCCGATCCAGCCGGCCCGCAACGTGGTACACGCCCTGATCGTACGTATGTGACACGTGCCAGCGGAGCTCACCGACGACACTTGCTGTGTCAGCCGGGCGGTGGGCCCCCCCGGCCGCACACGGCCCTGCTTTCGCACCACCCGGGAATACCTTGCTGCGACACCAGCTGGTCATATGGCCAGCCCGTCATGGGTTCGGGGACTCTTTGGCACAAACACACACACACACACACACCGAGAATGTGGACGATGCCCAAAAACAATGGATGGGCCTGTTTTACACCACCACCACCACCGTAAGTTGGAGGGGGATGGGGTCTTCCTCCTCCTCCTCATCCTCCTCCTCCACCTCCTCCTCCTCCTCCTCCTCCTCCTCCTCCTCCTCCTCCTTCTCATCCTCCTCCTCGTCCTCCTCCTTCTCATCCTCCTCCTCCTTCCCCCCCCAATTTACGGTGGTGGTGGTGGAAAACAGGCCCATCAACAATGCTGTCTAAATGTGGCAACCGCCGCTACTGGGCAGGCGATGCTCGTCATAAACGGGCACGGTTCGCTGCGGACCCCTACAACGAGTCCTGCTCAAAACGGGAAACCGATGTCGTCGTCCCCATGTGGGATTTGTTGAATCAGGTTCTCTCCTGCGCGCGTCCGTTCAGCATAGTGCCAAGAAGCGTCCTCGGCGCGGGCACGCTTGACCGTTAGCCAAGGGCGACCCCAGTCCCAAAAGCGCCCGCACCACTCGGCGGCCGCGCTGCTCGTGTAGTCGCACAGGCCGTCGTGGACGCAGACGTGCGCGGCCGCGACCTTCCCGCTCGACTCGCCTGGCATTCGCGCTTCGAATCCGAATCGCACTGCCAACGATGATCACCACCCCACGCGGAGGACGGCTCCCACGACCGAACTGGCTGCTCTCGAGTGTTTGTCGGCATGTCCGCGGGTGATCGCGGGCCCGCCGCCATGACCGACGCAGGTCGCCAGAAGAAGGGCTGCTGCGGCTGGCACCTGTCGACCTCCCGCATAATATCCCTGACGGTGCAGCTCCAGGGGCAGCTCGTCGACGCCAAAATCCACCTGACGACGTTCCCCACGACCGAACGTCGCCACCGTCGACCAAAGCCCCCTCTGTGCCACCTCTGCTCTCACTTGCGCGGCGCTCCGACGTGCCTTGCACGGAGAGCTGTCCCACGAGGCAGAAAAGCACAGGTCACGACAGAGGCTGAGGATGTGACGTTGCTCCAGGAGCTCCCTGCTTTACGTGCTCACGACCAGATAATAATACCTCGGCAGGGTGGCCGTGCACGTGGACTCGCTCCAACCTGGGACTTGCTCCACGGGCGCACATCTGCATCCCTGACGCGTCGGAGAGTCGGGGGACGCGCCGCAGGCGTGCGAGGGGACGCGCAAACCGGGGGCGCGCTCCTGACCCTGTCTGGGCCTCACAGGCGACGATTCCCCGTTCAGCAAGGCATCGGGCACGCCTGCGCCTTCCAAACATGCCGTGCGGAGACGCACAGCGCTTCCAGCGCACTCGTGGCTCCTCATCACACAGAGTGCAGCCAGGACTATCGATCATGTCGCCATGGGAATGACGGTGCAAGATGATGGGAAGGCTCTGGCACGCGAGCGAGGCAAAGGTGCCAGAAGACCAAGAGGATATGGGTGCGAGAAGCTGGCCTTCGAGTCGCCACGGCAACCGCAACTGCGCAAGCGATGGGAACGAGAAGATCATCTGGAGCAAATACGACAGCAGCAGCGATAGAATGATAGGCCGAGAAGAGCAAGCCAGAATATCGCAGAGCGAAAATCAAAGCTCGGAACTGCAGTGTCGCCTTCAAGTCCTCGAGGAGCTCCTCGGCCTTTTTGACCTGTTGCTGATACGACTGCTGCCTTCGCTCCATGAATTTCCCCCGCCTCCACTTCGAGCAAGTATCCTACTCCATTTCCATTTGCAACAGACAAACGCTGCACGGAGATCCTGACCCAAGATCACGACAAGAACACGTCTCGCAATATGCATAGCGTCTCCGACGTCCCCTCGTCAGGACTCCCCAGATCGGATGCGTGTCTCAGACGCGCTGACGCCTTGCATGGCGGATTGGTCACCCCCGTCAAGACGCTAGAATAGAGGGCACGACTGCGAATGCACTGTCTCATGAGTCGTCAAGGGGCAACATACTGAGATGGCCTCAGGCTCAGAACACTGTGCAATGAGTTGTTCCCCGCATCCCCATCCCTGTGGAGATAGGAGATAGGAGATAGGAGGATTTCAGTTCAAAAACCGCAAATGGACCACACCGTGGGGATCCCGCAGAAAGTCACCCGAGGGAGCACGCCGTACCAACTCTGGAGGAGACGAGCATCCGAGAAGCCAGCAGGACCGCGCAGAGACAAGACCATTACTGAGAAAATGCCCGTGGCAGAATTCAAGAGATGAAGAACCCTCTGCCGAGAGGGAAAGGGCTCCTCATGGAAACGATTCCTGGACCCCGGGGCTGCCCTTTTGAGATTAGCTCATCGTCCTGATGCGGCGTCGTCGACGGTCCCGGCGCGCAGGAATGAGCATCGTTTAACCGATCCCCATCCCCAGCGGCGTGGCACGGGCCCCACTGGCCGATGTACACCCCTAGGTGGGGATATAGGCCGTTCCCTTCGGGTCTCGAGGGGTGTATCCCCAACTGGGGGAGTAATTTGGTGGGGGTCTCGAGGGGATGGGGATGGGGATGGGGGTCGGTTGAACGATACTGAAGGAAGGGACCCGAGGAGGCCGAAAACAGCGAGAAAACTCAGGGGACATTCCTTCCTGGCGAGGGAGAGCGCCCCTGACCCTGGAGGCGTGGGAGGCACCGTGACGTCGACCTCCAGCGGGCTCAGAAAACTGGGGGGGCCCTTCTAGAGTAGCATTAGGTCGGGCATGTCATCCTACAGGGGGATTTTGGACGAGAAATAAAAAATAGTTGAAAAATGTTCAAAAATAGTCAAACAAATAGCCAAAAAATCGGCCCAAGGCCATTTTCAATTATTCTTGAATATTCCTCCTGTAGAGGAACACGCCCGACTTAAGAGTAGCATCCCTCGACACGCAGGCGGCCGCCTCGAGCAGCCCGTGCGGTCCTCGAAAGACAGGCCAGGGTGATGACATCTGCCCGCTTCTCCTCTGACAGGGAAAGGGGGCACCACCACGCCGAGCACCAGCCCTGGAAGGGAGGAGGACGAGGAGACGAGAGCGCACCTGGCAGAGATCAAGAGACGCCGTCGATCAATGCTTGGGACTGGCTCTCTTGCCATCGCACGAACGTTCATTCCCCGTGCACTGTTTGGTGTCGTGCGCGTCTTGTTCTCAATGTGTTCCAAGGTGCTCCAGAATGGTCCAAATCTTCTTGCGCTGGCATCACCAGGAAATACTCACGTCTGAGATACGCCGTCGGTTCGGCCACGCGCAGAGGGAGGGGGGGAGGGCTTCTTAGCAGCACCCCTGCTGCTCAGAAGGCGCGGGCCTTATCTATAGATGTAAGGCCGGCGCCTCCTGAGAAGCAGTCTCCTTCAAAGAAGCCCTCCCCCCTCCCTCCGCCCCCTTTCGGGAGCGGCCAAGAGGGGGGTGTCCAAGAAGGGGGGGGTGCAAATCATGACCGGCGGCATGTGCGCGGCCCAGCGGGGGGGCCAGGGACGTAATGAAACAAGAAGAGGCGCCATAAAATCTGCGGAGATATCATGGCCCCCGCCATGATATCCACCCCCCCCTAGTCATCACCCCCCTCTGTTCCGCCCTCCAACCCCCTTGGGCGCGTCGCCAGTCGATCAGTGCTTGGCACCGGCTTTTCTGACAGCCCCCCGCGACGGAGAGCAGGATTCGGCCGCGGCCCAAGCCTCGGGCACCATCAGCCAGGGGTCGCGCTTCATCCTCTCCTGCGCACCCCCGAGAAAATGCCGTGAACAAATCGCCTCTCGGTCGAGGAGGCCGAGGAGGACGTCCTCCTCCTCGACTCCTCCTCCTCCTCTCCTCCTCCTCGTCCTCCTCCTCGTCCTCCTCCTCGCCTCCTCGTCCTCCTCCTCCTCCTCCTCCTCGTCCTCGTGACGGGAGTCGTTTGGCCGCTTTCGGCCTCTGGGGGCCCTCGCCGTGCCACGCGGGCCGTCGAAGAAGCGGCCCCGGGACGGGGAAGAACGGTCCAGGGGAAGAAATCCAGACTCTGGGGGTCGACGTTGCAAGAGAACCAAGACTCCTCCTCCTCCTCCTCCTCCTCCTCCTCCTCCTCCTCCTCCTCCTCCTTCCTCCTCCCGCTCCTCCCCTCCTCCTCCTCCTCCTCCTCCTCCTCCTCCTCCTCCTCCTCCTCCTCCTCCCTCCTCCTCCTCCTCCTCCCTCCTCCTCCTCTCATCCGCATCCGCATCCGCATCCGCATTCTCCTCCTCATGAACCGTCTGCACGCCACGAATCCGCCATGACAGTGGGAAGCATAGATGAAGACGCCACGGACCGCTCAGCGCCCGCGCGCCCAGCGCCCTCCTCCTCCTCCCCATGCTCCTCCTCCTCCTCCTGATCATCATCAGCATCATCACCACCACCACCACCACCATCATCATCATCATCATCATCATCATCATCAGCAGCAGCAGCAGCATCATCATCATCATCATCATCATCATCATCATCATCATCATCATCATCATCATCATCATCATCATCATCATCATCATCATCATCATCATCATCATCATCATCATCATCATCATCATCATCATCATCATCATCATCAGCATCCATCATCATCAGCATCATCATCATCAGCATCAGCATCATCATCATCATCATCATCATCATCATCATCGTCATCATGAATCATCATCATCACCACCATCATCAGCATCATCAACGACAGCCATCATCATCAGCAGCATCACCACCATCATCAGCACCATCATCACCACCATCATCAGCATCATCACCACCACCACCATCATCATCATCATCAGCATCATCATCGTCATAGTCATCACCATCATCATCATCATCATCATCCTCATCATCAGCATCATCACCACCACCACCATCATCATCATCATCAGCAGCATCAGCATCGTCATAGTCATCATCATCATCATCATCATCATCATCATCTGCATCATCATCATCGTCATCATGAACCATCATCATCACCACCATCATCAGCATCGTCATCATCAACATCATCAACGACAGCCATAGTAAGGCTGATCACTCTTATCTGCTCGCGTGTCATGCATCATGGATATCCCAAACCCTCGATGCCCGCCCTGCTCGTTTTCGAACGCAAACCTCTTGGGGGTACATCTTCCTTACCTGCCATTGTAGCTGGCGCAGCCTCTAAAACAGAGAAAGGGAGGGAGGAGGGAAGTTCCGAGGGAAGGGGCGGGAGAAGGATGGAGCACGAGAAAGACTACGTAGCAAGAGGGGGGTCAGGAGCAGGAAAACAAGCGGCAGAACGAGACGGGCGGGTCGGCCGGGCGGACCCGAACGGGCAGGTCGGGCTGGCGGGCTCAGACGGCCAGCTCGAGCGGGCGGGTCGCTGAAGCGTCAGTCCTGTATGAATCGCGAAGAAAACTCTGGCGATAGCGCGATTCCCAAGAAAGTCGTGAGGACATCCAAAGCGAGGGCGTGATTCCTGAGTGTTAGGGGCGCGGCGTTACAATAGATGCGAAGAAGTACCACGCGAGAACACGATCTGGATCAAGTGTGATGGAGTCCCGCGCGAGAGCGCGATTCTGAATAAATCGCGAAGATGCATCAAGCGGGAACCGCTGTTGTTGTAAACAGGGGGCCAGCAACCCAGTCTGAGGCTCAAGACTTTCCCTTGCACAGAAAATACAGAATCCGAGCCCCAGGAGCGGCACATCAATTGAAAAACACAGTGGTCACCAGAAGGGGGATCAACATTGATTATTCTTAAGGAGTGAGAACTCAAGCTAACGCCGGCTTTCTGAACCCGATTCAAAGGGGCAGGCTTCCCCGTCGCTCCCGACAAGAAATACGCCGGGCTTCCGACAACCCCTCCTGGAAGGTGGGGGAGCGAGAACCGCATCGCATCGCTCCCGCCCCCGGTGAGAAAGAACTAGTAGATTGCTCGATTCCGTGGACGAGGCTAGGGCGCCTGCAAGCGACGCAGCCTCGCAGCCATGCCGTCACCATGCAAGCTCGGCCTGTACTATAAATTTGAAACCCTCCATAAATGATCCTTTTCTCAAAGAATGTTCGCCAGCGTGGACCCAAAACAGTGTGCTCTAGTATACCAGGTGATGCAATATATGTGGTACAAGCTATGAGGTGCAAGCTGTGTGGTGGAAGTGGTGGCACCTGCGTGGTACAAGCTACATGGTGCAAGCTACATGTTGCATTACATGTGGTGCTATGTTGTGTGAACTACGTGGTGTAAGGTACGTGGTGCAATATACGTGATAGGAGCTCACGTACTTACCTAGGTGGTGTGAGCTACTGGGTGAAAGCTACGTGGTGCCATCTGTGGTGAGAGCGATGGTGCGTGAGAGCCATGTGGTGGAAAATATGTGGTGCAATCCATTTGGTGCGATCTGTGTGGTGCAAGATATGTGGCACGATCTACGTGATGCAATCTATGCAGTGCAATGTATGTGGTGCCAGCTAGTGGTGCGAAATATGCTGTGCAATCCATATGGTGTGAGCTGTGGTGTATGATATGCAAAGGAATCCCCAGCAATGCAAAGCCATGCGAAACAATGCAAAGCAATGCAAAGCAATGCCAAGCAATGCAAATGCCTGACGGGATAGACGGAAGGCCATGGGTATCCGACTAAAGATGTCTCCACACATCCCACGACCGATCCTGCCACAAATCGCAGTATACATCCTGACATGTATAGTACTACAGATCCTTCCACTGAAGGTAGTACTATAAAACCGCCAGCATATCCCACTGCGTATCACACGACCGATATCTCTACATGCCATACTGCCGCTATTCCTAACAACCCTGCCGCACATCGCACAACCGGTGCCACAGCATATCATTCGCTCTTACTACACGCCACGCTACGCATATGATAACAAATCCTCCAGGATGTCCAGCTACACATCACACGTCAAACCTGAATAGATATCAGGCCACACGCATTACCGCACATCTCACTACACATGCGGCAACCGACCACAAATTCAGATCCGACTACAGTTGCTCCGACGAATCCCACTACAGACCCCACCACATAACCTACTACATCGCCATACTGGTATCCTATAAATCACACAACTACTGACCATGACGCGCATACCCCACTGATCCTACTTTCGGCCGCAGCACAATCCCCATCGCTGATACTATTATAAATTCCGCTAGTGGTCGCACAACAAATGTTACGACTGACTACAAAGATTCCTCCGGACCCTAATACAAATAGTATTACTGATCCGACGGCCGATCCGACCGCAGATCGTGCTGCAAATCGAACTGTTGATCAGTCTACGCTTCGGATACCATATCGCGCGACTGATCTCGCTACGGTAATTACAAGTGACCATGTGGCATGTGCGGGTACCGATCCGACCACCAATCCTACTACATATCCGGTGGGAAGATACTGCGACACTTCCTGTGGCACAGCGTACGAAATAACCCACTGCACACCTGACAGCACATCCCACACTGCAAATGCTTGGAGGATTGCTTAGGAAATCCTTACGACATCCTTGGGAACCCTTTCCCGGATTCTGCATGAGGAATCCTCCAAACTTGATCAGAGGCTTCAGAAATCCTCATGAACCCGTCGGAAGCCTCAAGGGCCCACAGGACTCCGGATGAATCCCTCAGGGATCTTCAGGAATCCGCAAGAATATTTCTGGAACCCTCAGGAATGCTGAAGAAGAGGAACCTTTCAGGAACCCTCAATAATCCGCAGGAATACAGCAGGAATCCACAAGCAGGAATCCGTTAGGGAGTCTAAAGGAATCCCTCAGGAATCCTGGGGAATCCGCAAGAATCCTCAGGGATCCTTGAGGACTCCTGGACGGCTACGAATAATCCTCATCAATCCGCAGGAATACCTTGAAATCGCGAAGAACCATGAAAATCCACAGGCATCCGCACGGAATCCCCCAGAACCCTGAGGAACCCATCGATACTGTCAGGGATCCTCTGGAATATTCCAAGGGTGCCTCCAGGATCCAGAAGAATCCCTTGGAATCCTCAGGGATCTTTCAAGGAGCCTCAAAATCCGACGAAATCGCAAGAATGTTGAGGAATACACGGAATCATCGGGAAACACCCGCAGGAACCCCAATGGAACCCTCAGGAATCGTCTAGAATGCTCAGGAACCCTTAGGAGTCAGCAAGAATCTGCGGATCCCCAGGAATCCTCCGGAACCCGCAAAAAACCTCTGGAACCCGTTGGCATCCTTCATGGATCCTTCCGGAATCTTTCAGAAGATCTTCAGGAACCCTCAGGAATCTTTCAGGAAGCCTAAAAATAACCCGACAGAATCAAAAGAAATCCCCGGAATCCCTCCGGAATCCCGGGTACGAACCGTTGAGGAGACCTCGGGAGACCATCGGAACCCATCGGAATCCGAAGGTTTCCATGGTAATCCTGAGAACTTAAAAGTTCAAAGGGTCCTAAGAAATCCATTGGGCTCCTGAGAACCCCTTGGACTCCACAGGGATCTGAATCTGGAACCCTGAGGAACTCTTTCTCAAGGATCCTGACGAATCCTTTGGAATCCTTGGAATCCTGGGGAATCCCATGAGAACCTGAGAACCCCTTGCCCCAGGGATCTCAGAATCCACCCTCCCCCCAACGACGCGAGGCGACGCGAGGCGCCGCATCGCGTCGCGACGGGGGTTGAGGGGAACGCACAAGGCCGCAGTCCACGCTTGCATATACTACAAATGCTCCGACCACTGGTACCA